AACAGTTGACTGAATTTATTAAAATTAATTTACCGTTTGTCAATAAAATAATATACATGTCTGACGGTGCTAGTGGACAGTATAAAAATAAAAAGAACTTCATTAATCTCACTCATCACTTTGAAGACTCTGAAATAGCAGCAGAGTTGCATTTTTCCCCCACTTACATGGAAAGGGGCCATGCGACGGAATAGGTGGGATTGTAAAACGACTAGCTGCCAGAGCAAGTCTTCAGAGAGTTAACAATCCCATTCAAACGCCGCGAGATTTTTTTGATTGGGCCATCGAATCACTGCCAAATATTATTTGTTGTTGTTCAACAAATGATGATTTCGAAGAAGAAAGAAAATAAGTGTCAGAGAGATTTTTGAGGGCAACAACGATTAAGGGAACGCTAAAATATCGTAGCATGGTTCCACTATCTTGTCAAAAATAAGAAGCAAGGCCGTTTTCTTTGCACGAAAAAACAAATATTGTGAAAATTATCAAGTGACATAATTTTGTTATGAAACTGTAAAAAGGGTTTTACTTGTTTATAAAAATTATGTTTCATCTATGAATAAATATTAAGCAATCACAATAATTACTTAGTTTTTTAATACACATTTTCATTAAATTAATAAAATATAATTTTTTCAGTTATTATTGCTCATCTACGTTTTACGAGTAGAAAATTACTCTTAATAAATGATAAAATGGTGATTTCTCGCTTTTTTGCATGATAATACAATATTATGAGGTTATACTGACAAATGGTAAGTACAAAAGTTGTAGATCTTTAAATTATCTACAACTTTTACTCTTAACTTTTTTTGATACGAGGTACAGAAATCATTTTATACTCAAAAAACAATTTTTTCAACAATTATGCGCTACATAAGTTAACATTTTAACAATAACAATTAAAAAGTCTTCATATAGTAAATACATGATTTTTAAATAAAATTTGACGTTAAATACGATGGTAATAATAAAAACTTGATCCATTTTGGGGGCAATGGTTAAAAATCGATTAAAACTATTAAATTATTAATACCAATGTTAATTTTTGATAATTTTTTTTTTTCATTTTTTTTCTTAAAGTTTAACTCTTTAGCGACAAAGGTGCTGTTAGTGAAAATTTTGTAGCTCTTAAGTATTCAGAGCTATACATTGATTAAAATGAGTCTCCAACCACTATTATGAAATTTGTTATAACTTATAAATTCGAAAATAGGCGATAAAAGAAAAGTTTTTTGGTCACGTATCTTTTATTTTTAAATACAGAAACAGGGAAAAAATTTTCAGTCGAATCAGAGAGGTGAAGGTCAAAATTCGTTGGATTTGTAAAAGAATTACCCATATGGGGAGAATCACGTCAACTGTCCCAGCGCCACGGTGGACGGCCCGCGCGGGCGTCAAACACGACGTTTTCAACTCGTCGTTTCGGTGTCAAAACTTTGATAAAAAAATTATCTAAAAACATATTCTTATGTATTTTTTCCTCAGCTTTTCAGTGGTGGCATCAGTTTTT